TATCATAAACAAAGACCACCACCATCCTCCAAATAACTGCTCATGGTAATGAAGTTTGATTCACAAGCCAACAAAGCTAGACAGTAAATGAACACAGGTTACCCAGGAAGTAAGTTCTGAATGAGAACGTCACACATGTGCTGACATAAACGCAGAGTTTAGAGACACCAAGTCTGCTGCCTTTGACTTCTGCTGTGAGCCTGTGAGTCCAGGCGTATCCAACTTCCCCGCTGCTGAGGCCCTGGGCAGCTGACCCCGGCCTAACTCTCGTGACTCAGCACAGCCTCGCCATCAGGGGAAAATGCTGCCCTAGCAGAGAGGACTCACTGGGCATGTGAGCCACTGCACGGTGACACCGGACAGAGCCGAGGGCAGACACCTGTGTCCCCTGAGCCGTTCCTTGATGCCCCTCCAGCGTGGCCAGCCTCGAGCAGCCTATGAGCCCACCATGAGTTCCTGTGTGCTGTAGCCTGACAAACGCCCCAGTGTGGGGGCGGCTGGTGGGAGGGTGCAGCAGGAGACAAGACCAGGGTTGGTCAGACAGGCCTGAGATACACAGTACTATGAACTCTCCGCTCAAGCACTCCGTGCAATAGACACCCCCTTTACCGCTGAGCTACGCTGCGCTCCCATCTTTGTGGCCCTCCTAGGAAAAGTTCTACACTTCCCCAACGCAAGCACACACCTGCAAATCTCGTTCATCTCTCAACATGCTATTTATTTGCACTGTGCTTGTACAGAGTATTTCTCTGCTACCTCATAGCTGAAAAGACAACATTAAATTACTTTATGCATACCAGGCAAATATATACCCCTTATCAAGCTTTCCCTTTGTGCATATTCAGAGTCATCAGGCACTTTTTTTTTTGAGACAGGGCCTGCCTATGTAGTTCAGGCTGGTCTTCAACTCACTATGTAGACCAGGCTGCCCTCAGACACATGGTAATCCTTCTGCCTCAGTCTCCCAAGTGCTGGGATGACAGGTATGTGCCACCACACCTGGATCAAGCACCCTTTTCTACTGATACTCAGCAGTTAGCAGTGATAGATGAAAACTAAGGGCAGAGCCATTACGACATGTATAAATAGTAATCATTAGAAGACATAAATACATAAAATGCTGATGTCCCAATTCAAATAAACACATTCCCTAAAGGCAAAAAAAGGCATTCAAAAATAAATACATAAAATGCTGCTTTACATTCCTGCACGAGCACAGAACATGACAACTAGATTAAATTTCTGAAGCAAACTTATGAGTACATTTAATCAATTCACTGAATTCCTTTCCTATACTTAAATTACTATTAGTGGTTATGTTCATGGTGCATTTAATATGAATTCATAACCAGATCCATTGTTAAAGGGAAATAGCAAGTCTGCTAGTAAAAGTTTCAATTGAAGTTTCAGTATGTTCAATTAGGCTAATGTATTAATTAAAATCGATGTCAGAGCTAAAATGTATTAAAAATTAGCCCACTGGAAAAATCTTACTGCAGCAAAGTCCTAGGCAACTTTTGAAAAGGCTTTGAAAAACATTTCCACAATTAGGGGCCCACTGCATTCATATTGCTGCTAAAATATATGTCAGGACTCGTTCTGTGTTAGGGGATCGAGGTGTGTTTCAGACAGCATACAAGAGGCCATGTTCAATCCCCAGAAAAAAGGTGTTTTCACAGTGCTCACATACTGTATCATACACGTATTTTTAAAACTAGCTTTGAAGGCAGGCATGGTGGTGCATATTTGTAATCCCAGCACTTGGGAGGCTGAGGCAGTAAGATTGCCACTGAGTTTGAAACCAGCCTGGATTATATAAGTGACTTCAAGCCCAGCCTGCACTGTATAGTGAGACCCTGTCTCAGGAAACAAAATAAAAACAACAAACAAACAAAACACTTAGCTTCGAAAGAAAAAGATTATATAAGCAACTTGCAGTGTTTACGGATACTTAAGTGGACAAACTATCTCAAAATGCAGATGGTTACTGGACTTCAAGCTTACCCTGAAGCCCATCGTGGGGTTCAGCCCACCTGTACTTTCTTGGACACCTAGGTGGGCATGGGAGCATCAGCTCTGCAGAGCTTACAGCTACAGCTACGCCTTGCAAGTCACTTCCACAGGGCATTGTTTTAGACTTGGGGCAAACAGTGCTGGGGCACCTCAGAAAACCTCAGCATCTTGGCATCCAGCAGCACAAACTGTCATACACAGAAATCACATCCCTAAGGGGTGGGGCTTTCGCTTACATTTTTATTAATTCTAGGAAAACCTATGGGACAACTTTCTACATTCATGATTTGTAAGGCTGTAGGGCTGTAGTGTAATGTATGTGTGTAAGTAACATGTTTATGTGTATACATTATGTAACACCCTCCAAGAGAATGAGCCAGCACCCTACAACCACACTTCTGCTTAAGTAAAACCTGGAAATATTAACATTAAATGCAATCAGAAAAAAAAGTTTCCATTAAGGGGCTGGGGATTTAGCTCAGCAGCACAGCACCTGCCTGGCAAGCGCAAGGTTGTGAGTTCGATTCCCGGTACCCGGGGGGGGGGGGGGGAGAGGAGTTTCCATTAACACTAATTCAGGTCAAGTTTTTTTCCCAAATTAGTGTAGATCACATCAAAAAAGCTAAGAATTTTGTTGAGGAGCTTTTGGCCTTCAGAATGAGATGAACAAGGAAGGTACTGCAGGGCTGTAGCTTTATAACAAGGCAACAAGTGCTAGAGATTCTTTTAACGCAATATACATCATCCCTAAAGCACTATCTACCTGCCCCCATTCCTCCCAAAAGGAGTGTGGCAACTACGGACCCGCTAAGTTCTACACTATTGTTCCGTATTTTGAGGACTGCTTTTTCCTGCTTTGGCTTCCTAAGGTTATCAGCTTAGTGATACCTCAAATGCCTAAAAGAAAACATCACTAGGAATAGTAAACAAACTGTAAGATTTACTTTCCAATCAAATAACTAAAAGGCGGCTTATACTTTAATGTGGTCTTCTTTAAAAGATGAAATTTGTTGTTGAATTTCCACCTATTCCCTCCCCCATTTTTTCTTTTGCCGCAGGTTGGCCTTGAACTTGCTGAGATCCTTCTGCCTCAACCTCCTGAGTCACCTCAACAAGCTCCATGTTAGACTCTCATCTATTCTTGACTATGATGTCAACCAACCTAACTCCAAAAGGCACTGTCAATTTCTAAGCCAACTTAGGGTCACATGTCAGATACGTTGGAAATGAAAAGAGACCAACAAAAGCAGGTATCTGCTGCGGGGTGTGGAGGCACATGCCTGTAATCCCAGCACTCAGGAGGCTGAGGCAGGAGGACTGTTCTGAGTGTGAGACCAGCCTGGGCTACAAAGTGAGCTCAAGGCCAGCCTGAACTGCACATCAAGACCCTGTCTCGAAAAAGGACAAACCCCACCCAAATAAAAAACAAACAAAAAAACCCCCACCCAAACACACAAAAAAAGCAGATAACTGACTTGGTACGAGATGATAGCAACCCCGTTTGTCTTTCATTTGTACATAGGTAGCCTGGCTACAACGCTGGCTGATTCCAGCTAGGGGTTGCGTGGGTACTAGCACGAGTCATCAAAAACTGACATACAACTAAAGGCAGCAAGGCACTCACCAGAGACCAATGCACCTGCTTGGGACTAAGACAACTGTTCAAGCCCAGCTTTATTAACAGTTGTCATTCAAATAAGCATTTGCTCATATCTATACAGAGAAGAGGAGAGCCAGACTGGAAAAGCTTCACAGGGCTTTTAAGAAAATATTTTTTAAACTGCCTTTTCATGTTTTTAACCTTAATTGAGTTGGTAGTCTAGCTATGCAGTTCAGGCTGGCCTTGAGCTCACTCTGTAGCCCAGGCTGGTCTCAAATTCACAACGATCCTCCTGCCTCAGCCTCCTGAGTGCTAGGATTACAGGCATGTGCCACCAGGCCCGGCCAGTATCTAATGTATTTAAAAGATGTGCTTTAACATACCCTAAGAGAAAAAGAACACTGTTTTGGTTTTTTGATACAGTCTCAATTTGTAGTCGAAACAGGCCTCAACTCATGGCAACCCTCTTGCCTCAGCCTCTCAAGTGCTGGGATTACAGCAGGCATTCATTACCACACCTAACTAAGATAAAACTTTTTGATACAATCTACTTAATGAGATCAGACTAAATAGTAAATTGATAGTCTTAGCTCTCCTGAAAATGGATATTGCTTCCAATTTGCTGGCCAACTGTAAAACATCCGGATTTAAACACCAAAACCCAAATTTTACACATAATACACACACAGTCCAGTAGTTCAAATTTAAACAACTGCCTCTTGAGGAATTCCACTTTGCACAGGGCCTTGATGCTGCACGAAACACCAAGCAGTCAGAGCTACCCAGGGGAGTCTGCTGAGAGGTGGAGCGGGCAGACAGCACCCTCGGGGCTGGGGCGTGGCTCAGCAGGACCTGTGTTCAGCACGTGCAAACTCGGGTCTCTACCTCTAGCACCAAAAGCAACAATGACTTTTCTAATCCAGCCTACACATTTGTACCCACTAAACCAAATGGCAGAATGATGTGGTAAACTGTATCTTCCAAAAACCACTCTCCAACTTACATTAAAATAGGAGCTAGTACAATTTCCTAGAACTTCTCCTGCAAAATGTATTTAGTAATATTTGTTATATGAGACAAATTATCAGTGATTGATAAAAATGCATTCAACTAATTCAGTTGTGGCTATAACCGGTACCTGTCAAATCTGACAAAACTTCAAAAGAACTTCAAGGGCCGGGGCTATAGCTCAGTGGCACAGTGCCTTCCTGGCCAGTGTGAGGTCTTGAGTTTGATTCCCGGTATCAACAAAACAAAACAAAACTTCAAGGTCATTGCACTTAAAAAAGCAAATGTAATTTTGAGTCCTCAAAAACATGAAGCAACTTAGCAGTCTCACTGACCTCAATTTCATTTCATTAGGATCCTGAGGACAGGGAATACTCACATGGACGAGTTAGGAGATGGAACCCCCTATCATCAGCTAGGCTCCCAGGGGGGCTCGGCGTTGAAGTCGAACTGCTCTCTATACAGCACTTCTCCTAGGCCCTCTGGGTAGTTGTACACTCGGTCAGAAAGTTCGCCCTAGACGAGGAAATGAAGATAGCAAACAGCTCCATGTTAGGAAAAAAACAAACAAGTTGAAGCCATATTAGACAAAATGTTTTCAAAGCATTTAACACAGTGCCAACACTTTTTTACGTAGTACACCTTCTTAAGGTGCTGTACTACACAATTCTCAGACCCTGAAACCATGGTCATCCTATCATACTGCTTTATTTACCTAACTCCTAAGTTTCTAGCTGTCATCTAATTATTGCTTTTGTCTCCTAACATCCAAGTTTGTAAGTAGCCTCAAAGTTAAAAGTTTACAGGTACTCTGCCAACCTTCAAAACTCTATTGTATCAGCAAGACTTTATTTTTTATTTATTTATTTTTTTGGTCTTTCTGAGACAGGTCTTGCTATGTAGTTCAGGCTAGCTAGCCTTGAGCTCACTTTGTAGCCCAGGCTGCCTCGAACTTGCAGCAATTTTCCTGCCTCAGCCTCCTGAGTGCTGGGATTACAGGTACACTCCACCATGCCTGGCTTGAGCAAGACTAAATACACAATGTTGTACATAATGTCATTGGAACTACCCAAAGCATCCTTTTACTCCTCAATTCAGATCCTTCTTTGCTTGAAGTGTAAATTCCTACTACAGTACTAAAAAGTTTTAAGATCTCATACATTATGTATCTGAAATAACTACGAAATAACATTAGGCAAGTAACCTCTTCTGGTTTACCTCCCCTTACATAGACCATCTACATCTACTACTTTCTATTGCCACCAGGAGCAAGTGAAGAAGTTTTAGAATTGGCCACCACTCATCATCATTCGGCTGGATGGGTTTATCACCTCTAGGCTAAAATGTTACACATTATGTTTCTACTTGTCATACAGTGGTTACACTGTTTTCACATAGTATATCTTGACCCTTATTTGCTACAAAAGGGATGGTGAGAAGGAACCCAGAAATATGAAACTAGAGATAAAAGGCCAGGAGTCTAAAGGGTGTCAAAAACACAAGCACCAACTAAAGCTTATCTCAGCTCAAGGTGAATCAATTGTAGCAGGTAAAATGCCCTACCTACCTAGAGAGGGAAACTGGCCACTCTTACGGACATTCATGGATGGCAAGGAAAGACCCCAAATTATGTACTACTCCATAAACATCCAATTCTTCCTGTACCTAGGTAGTTTTTTTTTTTTTTTTTTTTTTTTTGAAGCAAGGTCTCAATATATA